TAAAATATTCTAATTCAGAAAAAATTAAAAAATATATTGAAAAATTTATAATTTTGAATCATGTCTATCAACTTAACATGTGTGTATATATATGATGATGATGATTTATAAAATGACTGATTTAATTATTAGCAAAATTTAAAGCTATATGAAAAAATAGTTCATATCGATGTGTTCAGTACAAAGGGAAACATTATATAATACAATTATTTTATGAATGGAGGTGTTCCGGACATTTCAAAGTCAACTTAATTTTTTTTAATGAAATACTATATTTTTTATTTCATTGTACGACAATGAACATTGTATAACAATTCTTTTTAAGACAAGTTCATGGATATATTATAAAGAACATTCAAGATTAATCCTAGTCACAAAATTGGACTCAATGAACTTGACAGATAATATTATTTGATGTTTATGTCTATGTTTATAACTTTAATGGAGAAGTTGTTACTCAAGTCTTAACATTGGTAATTGTAGTAATTCACAAGTTGTGAATATTTTGATAACCTTTAGTAAATATGAAAGATGTATAACTGAAACTGCAAGAATATCAAATGAATGCCATATGTGATGGTCCAGATGATCTAGATGTTCTCAAAGTCATATAACTTTTGTCTGAAACTTTTGTCTTTTCAATCCCATATCACCTTCTCGAATTCTAGTATCATTTAAAATAAAACAATCTGTATATAAATATATATAAATATATAAATTATATATAATAACACTAAATTTTTGCTGTTAGGTAAAAGGAAAAGATAATATAGGTGCAACTATGGACAGCATGGAATTGGAAAGGCAAAGAGGCATCACTATCCAATCTGCTGCCACATACACATTATGGAAAGATCATAATATCAATATCATTGATACACCAGGACATGTGGATTTCACAGTGGAAGTCGAAAGAGCTCTGCGCGTCTTGGACGGTGCTATCCTCGTCCTATGTGCTGTAGGTGGTGTTCAGTCACAGACTCTAACTGTGAATCGACAGATGAAGAGATATAACGTACCCTGTTTAGCATTTATCAATAAGCTGGATAGAATGGGTGCAAATCCAGAAAGAGTTCTACAACAGATGAGGAGCAAACTGCATCACAATGCTGCATTCATACAATTGCCGATTGGTTTGGAAAGTAATACAAAGGGTATAGTTGATATAATTGCGCAAAAAGCAATTTATTTTGAAGGAAATTTCGGAGAAATTGTTAAGGAGGATGAAATTCCAAAGAACATGAATGCAGGTATAAAATAATAAGTTTAAGATACATTTACATTCTATAAAATTTTAAAATTTATAAGTTTACTAAATTTGAATTATGTCAATTAGAGGTAAATAAAAGAAGACAAGAATTAATCGAGCACTTAAGCAATGCAGACGATACATTTGGTGAATTGTACTTGAACGATGCAAAAATAACTGAAAAAGATATTATGGATGCCATACGCAGAAGTTGTATAAAAAGAAAATTTACACCTGTGTTGGTTGGTACTGCATTAAAGAATAAGGGAGTTCAACCATTATTAGATGCAGTAATAAACTTCTTACCAAATCCAGGAGAAGTAAAGAATTATGCTCTTCGAGAAAACTCTGAGTAAGCTTTTCATATTAGTATGATTTGCTTAATATATAATGTAATAATCTATGAACAAATTTTAGCGGTGAATCTATCAAAATTTTATTGGATTCTACTCGTAATGACAAAAACCCTTTCGTTGGATTGGCATTCAAGTTGGAAGCTGGAAAATTCGGTCAATTAATATATTTTCGTTGTTATCAAGGAATGTTAAAAAAATCAGAAAATTTATATAATACAAGAACACGAAAGAAGGTATTTATGTATATAAACATACAATATTCTTATTATAATTATCACTAAAAAATATAATATTTTTTTTAAACTGCCATAATTATATTTCAGGTACGAGCACAAAAATTAGTTAGACTTCATGCAAATCAAATGGAAGATGTTACAGAAGTTTATGCGGGAGATATATTTGCTATATTTGGAATAGACTGTGCTTCTGGTGATACTTTTGTCAGAGATTCTAAGCTAGATTTGTCAATGGAATCAATTTATGTTCCTGATTCCGTGGTATCTATGTCTGTACAAACAAAACATTCGAAAGATCGAGATAATTTTGCTAAAGGTATTAGCCGATTTACTAAAGAAGATCCAACCTTACGTTTCCACTATGACACAGATAATAAGGTAATATTTTTTATATCACTTTTAACAAAGATCATTTTTGTCTTTGAGATTTATGTGTTGTTTCAACTTATATCTTTTATAGGAAAGTATAATTTCTGGTATGGGCGAATTGCATTTGGAAATTTATGCGCAAAGGTTAGAACGTGAATATAATTGTCCAGTCATTCTTGGAAAGCCAAAAGTTTCTTTCCGTGAAACTTTAACTGAACCGTGTGAATTTGATTATCTTCATAAGAAACAATCTGGTGGTGCTGGCCAATATGCTCGCGTGATTGGAATTATAGAGGTATAAATTTAATGGATTTGTATCATTAATGTTTATATTATTTATCGATATTGCTTTTTGAAATTTTTTTATTTCGATTTGTTTTTTTCATGAAGAAAAATTTGTTTTTTCAGCCCTTGCCACCTACGAAAAATACAATCATCGAATTTTCAGATGAAACTATAGGAACCAATGTCCCGAAACAATTCGTTCCAGGTGTAGAAAGAGGTTTCAGAGCAATGTGTGAAAAAGGTTTGCTCAGTGGTCACAAACTCGCTGGTATTAAGTTCAGGTTACTCGATGGCATGCACCACTGCGTCGATTCTTCGGAATTTGCCTTCTTTTTTGCCGCACAAGGTGCTGTTAAAGATGTTTTTGAAGCTGGTACCTGGCGAGTTTTGGAACCGATCATGATGGTTGAAGTAGTTGGCCCACAGGAATTTCAGGTGCAATAATATTGTCTATACATTCATTTTGCATTTATATTAGGTGTAGTAAAAAGAAATCCATTATTTCTCCGTTCAATTTCATGCAAAAATAATGGATTTCTTTTTACTACACCTAATATATCTTACTATTTTCCATTAGACACACAATTTTTCACGTGTTTGTTTATAGGGTTCAATATTAGGACAACTCACTAAAAGAAAAGGAATCATAAACTTTACGGAAGTAGTAGATGAATGGTTCACAATCATCGCGGAAGTACCACTTAACGAGATGTTTGGTTATTCCGCTGAATTGAGATCGAGTACCCAAGGCAAAGGAGAGTTTACTATGGAATATGTAAGATATAGTCCTTGCTTACCGGAAGTACAGGAACAACTTGTTAGACAATATCAAGAATCACTGGGAATAGTAATAGAGAAAACTCAAAAATCGAAAAATTAACTATAGAACAAATGAATATTTCTTGTTTTTTTTTAGTGAAATTGCGCAATATTATGAATGTTATAAACGCATTATTTATATTTACATATTTAATATACTCGACGTAAACCGATAAGTAAGTTATTAATAATATATATAATTATGAATGGTAAAAACACAAATATACAAAATTTGTAATACTTAAACATGTACAAATGTCTCAAGTTGTAAATATTAGTCCACGTCCAAAAATGTGTAATACGAAATAAATATGTAGAAAATAGTTTTTACCTCCGTACACGTATGAAAAATTGTTTTACCATTTATTTTTAAATAATATTTATCTTAATGTGTTATGCATATACATAATATTCTTACTATTAGAATAAAAGTAATTAAAATGACAGAATTATAATTTTTTTAAAATTATTCTAATTTAATCATTTTCTGAACTCTTTCACGATTTGTAATATTAGTTCGTGGCGTTTTTTTAATGCCATCCAACGGAAAAAACGCCACGAACTTTTTTCCACACCTAATATGTTAATATTAATAATCCTTTTCTGTTTATTGTTATTAAATAATTAATTTATTTGTTTCAAATTTTTTTTTTAAATGTGTATATATGTACACACACACACACACACACACACACACACACACACACACACACACACACACACACACACA